ATGGGGTTCAGGGGTCTCTAGTGATGGGGTTCAGGGGTCTCCAGTGATGGGGTTCAGGGGTCTCCAGTGATGGGGTTCAGGGGTCTCTAGTGATGGGGTTCAGTGGTCTACAATGATGGGGTTCAGTGGTCTCCAGTGATGGTGTTCAGTGGTCTCCAGTGATGGTGTTCAGTGGTCTCCAGTGATGGTGGTCAGGGGTCTCCAGTGATGGGGTTCAGTGGTCTCCAGTGATGGTGGTCAGGGGTCTCTAGTGATGGGGTTCAGTGGTCTCCAGTGATGGTGGTCAGGGGTCTCTAGTGATGGGGTTCAGGGGTCTCCAGTAATGGGGTTCAGTGGTCTCCAGTGATGGGGTTCAGGGGTCTCTAGTGATTGGGTTCAGGGGTCTCCAGTAATGGGGTTCAGGGGTCTCCAGTAATGGGGTTCAGGGGTCTCCAATGATGGGGTTTAGGGGTCTCCAGTGATGGGGTTCAGGGGTCTCTAGTGATGGGGTTCAGGGGTCTCCAGTGATGGGGTTCAGTGGTCTCCAGTGATGGGGTTCAGTGGTCTCCAGTGATGGTGGTCAGGGGTCTCCAGTGATGGGGTTCAGTGGTCTCCAATGATGGGGTTCAGTGGTCTCCAGTGATGGTGGTCAGGGGTCTCTAGTGATGGGGTTCAGTGGTCTCCAGTGACGGGGTTCAGGGGTCTCCAGTGACGGGGTTCAGTGGTCTCCAGCGACGGTGTTCAGTGGTCTCCAGTGATGGTGGTCAGGGGTCTCCAGTGATGGTGGTCAGCGGTCTCCAATGCCGGAGTTCAGGGGTCTCCAGTAATGGAGTTCAGGGGTCTCCAGTGATGGGGTTCAGGGGTCTCCAGTGATGGGGTTCAGGGGTCTCCAGTGATGGGGTTCAGGGGTCTCCAGTGATGGGGTTCAGGGGTCTCCAGTGATGGGGTTCAGGGGTCTCCAGTGATGGGGTTCAGGGGTCTCCAGTGATGGGGTTCAGGGGTCTCCAGTGATGGGGTTCAGGGGTCTCCAGTGATGGGGTTCAGGGGTCTCCAGTGATGGGGTTCAGGGGTCTCCAGTGATGGGGTTCAGGGGTCTCCAGTGATGGGGTTCAGGGGTCTCCAGTGATGGGGTTCAGGGGTCTCCAGTGATGGGGTTCAGGGGTCTCCAGTGATGGGGTTCAGGGGTCTCCAGTGATGGGGTTCAGGGGTCTCCAGTGATGGGGTTCAGGGGTCTCCAGTGATGGGGTTCAGGGGTCTCCAGTGATGGGGTTCAGGGGTCTCCAGTGATGGGGTTCAGGGGTCTCCAGTGATGGGGTTCAGTGGTCTCCAGTGATGGGGTTCAGGGGTCTCCAGTGATGGGGTTCAGTGGTCTCCAGTGATGGGGGTCAGGGGTCTCCAATGATGGGGTTCAGTGGTCTCCAGTGATGGTGGTCAGGGGTCTCTAGTGATGGGGTTCAGTGGTCTCCAGTGACGGGGTTCAGGGGTCTCCAGTGACGGGGTTCAGTGGTCTCCAGCGACGGGGTTCAGTGGTCTCCAGTGATGGTGGTCAGGGGTCTCCAGTGATGGTGGTCAGCGGTCTCCAATGCCGGAGTTCAGGGGTCTCCAGTAATGGAGTTCAGGGGTCTCCAGTGATGGGGTTCAGGGGTCTCCAGTGATGGGGTTCAGGGGTCTCCAATGATGGGGTTCAGGGGGTCTCCAGTGACGGGGGTCTCCAGTGACGGGGTTCAGGGGTCCCCAATGATCTGGTGATCCTCCATCATACAAAGACATTGTAGACAATGGGGCTCTTCCAGCCTTGTGGTCACAGTTTGGTGAAGACCCTTTTCTGTCCCCCCCCCATGACTGTCCCCCGTGTACACAGACAGCTCCATACAGACATGGGGGGACCTGCACAGAGCCCCGACCTCATCCCTACTGAGCACTGACTGTGAGCCCGGGTCTTCTCATCCAACATCAGTACCTGACCTCACCAATGGGACCAATTCCCCCAGACCCCTCCAATGTCTTGTGTAAAGTCCTCCCAGAGGAGTGGAGGATGGTGTAGTCACAAAGGGGAGCAGTGGCGTATTGTTGGCCATGATGGGGGGGCACCTGTATATTAGGGGCCTTGGTCTTGGAAGGGGAGGTCTCACCGGCTCCTATAGGTGTGATGGTCAGGTGTCCGCACTTGTGTGAGGCCGCCATGTTGGTGATTCAGCATTTATAATTCTCTTTATTGCCCTGAAATCTTCTTCTGGCTAATTCTAGGACTACAGCCCCCATCATGGCGCGTTGTGTCTCCGGTAGGTTGTTGATTATTGGGTATTTCCTCCCTCAGGACGGCGGCGGCGGGATCTCCACGCACACGCTGCGCGCTCTGGTCTCACATTTCCAGAAACTGTTTGACGTTCGGTCCCTGAGCGGCGTCTATCCGCGCATGAGCGAAGTGTACAGCCGGCTGGGCGAGGTGACCAACGCCATGAAGAACCTGCGCAGCATCCTGGGATTAGGTAACGTCCCCATAGAGTCCAGTGTGTCCTCCACCCCCCTGGGAGGCCAATCCCGGGATCCTCCACCCCCCTGGGAGGCCAATCCTGGGATCCTCCAGTATGTCCTCCACCCCCCTGGGATCGGGATGACGCCGGCCCGCCATTAGTGGCAGATTACACCTACAATGACCTTGTTCTAGTCTGTGTCTGCGCTCATACTCGTCCTGCGTCTTCTCAGGGGATGCGGCCGGTGTGGGGACCGTGGTGAACACAGTGTGGGCGATGTGTAGAGATGCAGAAGAAGAGAACGGCCAGAAGCTGCGGGAGGTCCTCGGCCCCCTGGACCTAGACAGGTACGACCTCTGACCCTGGGACCTAGACAGGTACGACCTCTGACCCCGGGACCTAGACAGGTACGACCTCTGACCCCGGGAACCTAGACAGGTACGACCTCTGACCCCGGGACCTAGACAGGTACGACCTCTGACCCCGGGACCTAGACAGGTACGACCTCTGACCCCAGAATCCTGCAGACACATGCAGCCCCCTAACTGCATCCGTAGACGCACCGATTGTCCATGCCGATCCGCAGATTGATGGAGACTGTGATTCTGTGTCACCCTCCGTGTGTATTCAATGTCCACATCAGAAAAATATGGTCATCCCTCTCCCCGGACTCCCCCGTGCGCTGTGATATCGTCATCCCTCTCCCCGGACTCCCCCGTGCGCTGTGATAGCGTCATCCCTCTCCCCGGACTCCCCCGTGCGCTGTGATATCGTCATCCCTCTCCCCGGACTCCCCCGTGCGCTGTGATAGCGTCATCCCTCTCCCCGGACTCCCCCGTGCGCTGTGATATCGTCATCCCTCTCCCCGGACTCCCCCGTGCGCTGTGATAGCGTCATCCCTCTCCCCGGACTCCCCCGTG